TGGAGGAGGGAGCTATGGAGGAGGGAGCTATGGAGGAGGGAGCTATGGAGGAGAGAGCTATGGAGGTGGGAGCTATGGAGTTGGGAGCTATGCAGAAGGTAGCTATGGAGGAGGGAGCTCTCCAAGTACCTCCACAACGAATTCATTGCTGGAATAGCGGCCATTCATTTCTGAGCAGGACAGCCGGAACTTCCTTGCATAGAGGGCAGCCCCATGCCGCAGTCGATAATGAGCCTGCCTCAGGATCTCTTCATACACAGTAATGCTCTCCACACCTAGGGAACAGGGATGCAAATGCAGGTTCCAGAAAAGGCAGGCCTGGGCAGCACTCTCTCACTCAACTCCCACCAGATAGCAGCAGGCAAATCCGCAGAAGGGATCAGCGAGAGAGAGAGAGACAGAGACAAAGACAGAGACAGAGACACAGAGAGACAGAGACAGAGAGACATTGAGAGAGAGACAGACAGACAGACAGACAGACAGACAGACAGACAGAGACAGAGAGACATTGAGAGAGAAAGAGAGAGAGAGAGAGACAGAGAGAGACAGAGAGACAGAGACAGAGACAGAGACAGAGACAGAGACAGGAAGGGGTCAGCCCCATCCCTATTCCCTTCCCAGAGGAAGAAACACTGCCCCACTGCCCTACTCTCTGCTCCTCTCTAGCGCCCTAAGGTAAAGTGATCCAGGTCCTGTTTCCTTCTCTGCCCTTCTTGGTCAGCTCTGTGGCCTCTGGGAAGAAAAGGAGAAAGCACAGCAGAAAAGAGATGACAGGCAGGAAGGAAACGGATGGAGAACACAGCCTCAGTGAGGCCCAGAAAGGAGACGGTCATTGACCTCTTCTTTATTCTCCCACCTGGAGGGCTCCACAGAGTATTCTCCTGGAAACTACCAGCCCACCACTCCCCTCCATTCATTAATAGATGATCACTCAGCTCAAAGCAGAAGTGTGTGCAGAAGTTGAATGAGGTGGAAGACAGGGACAGTGACCAATAATACCAAACAGCTAGTGGGTCTGGAAGTTCATTATGAAACCTGAGCTTTAAGAGGGGAGGGATGACAGAGGCCTGGAGGGAAGCAGAAGTCATGGGCAGAAGTGAGTCCAGTCATGGAGAAGAGAAAGCTTGTGGAAACCACAGCCAGGCACATTTCCCTGGCACAACCTGGAAGCCAGAGGACCTTCCAGCTGGGAAGACCTAAATGCCACTTGCCTACCTCCCTGGGCCTGGAAGGAGGACCCAGGTGCCAACTCTGGAGAGGGGCGCACCCACACAAAGCACAGGCTGTCGGGCCCCACTGACCAGCGATGGTGAGGTAGGCAGATGTGTTGGTGAGCTCCAGCCCTCGCTGCTGCAAGGATGCCATGTCCAAGAGCAGGCTTTCCCGCTCAGGGTCCAGGTCATCTCCCACCAGAGAAATTTCACAGCCATCCAGGTTGTGCACAATCTCATCTGACATGCGTGTGTCTGTCACTGGATGGGAGAAAATTGGTATCAGGGTCAGAGGTGGCCTCAGTGAGGTTCTGAGACCCAGCTATCACCATCAGATCATGACTGCTTTTCTGCCCCTCCCCAGGGCTTTCCATAAGGGGAACCAACATCATTTTCACAAAGTCATTATGCATGGTTTCCTCATGCTCAGGGGCCTCTTACGGTGAGATGCTATAGTCATACAAACACATGAAGTAGTTTCCATTGTCAGCTCCATATTTGTTCCTGCTCCCAGATATTGGCCCCTGCCCCAGATGTCACTTCCTGGAGCCATCCTCACCTGTGCCCTGCCAACTTTCATCTTTTTTGGCCTCCACTTGGTGAGAAATGGAGCAAGTAATTTGAAGATCAGGGAATAGAGGGACACCCTCAGGTCCCTCAAAATCCACAGCAGGGCGAACAAAATGGGCTGTGCCACTCAGGAGGATCTGGGGAGCATCAGGTTGAAGAACCACCACGTAGCCCTCCACTTCAGGGATGGAGACACAGGACTCTTCGCTGAAGCACCTGTAAGAGAGAGGACAGACAGACCACTTGTGACCCCCACAACCGACATCTTTCCCTTAAAATCTACATTATGTGGCATCACTCTGAGCCTCCACCTCTGCAGCAAAGCACCCCCTACTGGGGCTAGGGGGGATAGTATGTTCATGCACCAACCTGTAACAAGGTTGCAAGGGGTCAGGAACGAAAGGCAACACAGCCCCAACCTATGGAGTGATGATATCATTGATGTCATACCCCCAGATTATAGAACATCTATCTTAATTAAAAACATTTTTTTTGAACTGACAAAAGTGTGTGTACACACATAGTTCTTTATCTAGGAGATAAAATAATATACATAGGTTCAGTATATGGTCTGGCAGATATTGCCCTCAAAATGTTTGATGATGATTCATTAAAGATAAATAAAGTCCACTTCCTCGGTGTGTTTTCCACTCCCTTCAATATCAGAGAAACTGACAGGTGGATGAGATCACCTGACCTCGGACCTAGACCCAGCAACCTGCACTGCCTCATCTAGGTGTCAGTAGAGAGCTCCACCACGCCAAGCCAACCACAGAGCAACTGCCCAGGACCCAGCCTATGAGGATCAACTCCACCTCCACACTTTGCCAACAGCAAAGACACCTGGCTCTCTCATCGCACTTGCTGATTTGTGAACCACTTTGCCTGTGTCATTTTATTATAACCTTGTTTCCACACTGTAGAACAGGGAGGAGACAACAAAGCTTAGATCAAGTATCAGGCACACAATACCTGTCAAAGGCAAGACTTCATCCATTCTTATTACAAGTCTGCCGATCTTGTCACTAAACCACAGCTACCATTTGGTGCCAGGGTTGACACCAGGGAAATGTATTTATAAAGAAATGGCCTGCTTTGGTTTGAATGTATCCCCCCAGAAGTATGTGTTGAAAATTTAATCCCCAATGTAACAGTGTTGGGAAGTGGGACCTAATCGGAGGGTTCATGGGAGGATCAATGCTGTTATAAAAGGACTGAAGCTTCACATCTGACCTCTCCCTCCCTCTTCCTCCTTCCCTCTCTCCATTTTCTATCATAAAGCGATAATCACGAGACAGCCCTCATCAAATGCTAGATTCTTCATACGTAGCCTAGTCCTAGTCCCTGTGATTTCATTATAGCAGCACAAAGCTGACTGGGACAGGAAATCAGGATCACAGAAGTGAGGCTGCTGAGAGAGGTGCCTACAAATGTGGAAGCAGCTTTGGAGCTGGGCAGTGGGCAAAGGCTGGGGCACTTCAGAAGGGCATGCTGGCAGAGGCTCGTGTTGCCACCACAGACCATAAAGAATGATTCTATGGGAGCTCAGAAGAGAAAAGCTGTAGAGAATGCTTGGGACATCTTAGAAGTTATCTAAGAGGTCATCATCAGAACATTGATAAAAGGATGGGCTGTAACAGTCATCCTGATAAAGTGTTTTGAAAAATGACAACTATTGGGTGGGCCAACTAAAGTGCTTATTTACGCAGATGCAGGGACCAGGGTTCAATCCCTGCCCCCAGGGATCACTAAGCAATTGAGACTGGGCGTGGTGGTGTACACCTGTAATCCCAGTGCTTGGGAGGCTGAAAACAGGAGGATCACTATGAGTCAGATCTGTGCAGTGAGACTCTGTAGACCCTATATTAAATACATTTTTTAAAAAAGAAAGAAAAAAAATAACAACTATCAAAAAAAAAGAGTATCTTACTAGAAGCCATAAAGACTATCCTTCCTAAATTGGCAAAAATAAAAAAGCTAAACTATTTCCATTCCTGAGTGTTTTGTTTTCAGGGCAATGAACTAGAAAGAAAATCTAAGCAAAATACTGAAGAAGCTGTGTGGCTACCTTTAACTACATACAGTAAAGTGAGAAAGGGAAGAAATGAATTAAAGGTGGAATTTATATTTAAAAGGGAAAAAGACCTTAGAAGTTTGAAGAATTCCCAGCATGGGCAAGTAAAAACTGAAATGTGTGCCAGAATATGGCCAAGCGGCCCTGTGATGAAGGGGTTTGCACAGATAAAAGGAAGCAAGCTGCTGTTCATCAAGACACCGGGAGAATGGCCCGAAAGCAACTTCAAAGATCTTCAAAACAGGGCTGGGGATATAGCTCAGTGGCACAGCAACTGCTCAGCAAATGCTAGGTCTTGGAGACAGAGAGAGGGAGAGGGAGAGGGAGAGGGAGAGAGAGAGAGGAGACAGAGACAGAGAGATAGAAAGACAGAGACAGAAAGACAGAAAGACAGAGATAGAGACACAGAGACAGAGACATAGACACAGAGACAGAGACACAGAGATGAAGGGTTCCAAACAGTCCAGGATACCCACAAGAAATCAGCATTCATAGCCCTGTGCCCCCATGGGCCCTGTCTCCTACATTCTGCAGCAATGTCCCTTGGTCTCAGATGCAGCCTGGACCATAGTTCCAAAAGGAACAGGGCAAAAGCTGTGGTATATGGTGCTGCCTTGCCATGAGCTCAGAGTAAAAGAGCTCCAGGTGAAAGGCTTTCTCCACTTGCTGTCAGAGGATGTCTTAGACAGCCTGGGGGCTCAAGCAGAGACTTGTCACTGGGGAAACCCACCATGGACTGCTTCCTACCAGGGCAACACTGAGCAGAACTGTGAGCTGCAAGTCTCCACTAGTGCAAAGTCACCACATGGACCCCAGAACTACATAGTGCTCCTGGCTGCAACACTAGCCTGCGAGAACTGACAGGTGCTACAGGGACAGAGCCCAGCCAAGCCACAGGACTGGGGCTGCCCAGGACCTTGGAGGCTGAAGCCCGAGCCCAGTGTGTCCAGAGGATGGCCTGTGGAGTTGAAGACTACCCCGGAGCCCCAAGATCTCATGTTGCATGCCCTCTTAGCCTTTGGACTGCTTGAGACCAGTTACCCTCTTTCTCCTTCATTGTTCCCTTTGGGAAGTGTGAAGTTGCTCCTTCTTGCTCCCTTTTATAGTGTCTATCCTATGTTGGACCCACCACAGTATTAATAACTTTAATTCCACAGGCTCCCAATGGAGAATTGCCCCAGGACGCATTGTGTCTCCAGTCTCATCCATATCTGATTCAGATTAGGCTCTGGATTCTGGACTTTGAGTTGATGCTGGAACAAGATAAGACTTTGAGGTTATTGGGACAGAAAGAATGGATTTTCTGTGAGAGGACAATAAATTTGGGGGATCTGGAGCAGAATATTATGGTTTGAGGGTCTCCCAAGAAAATAATTTGCTAGAAACTTAAACCCAATGGAGTGGTGTTGAGAGGCGGGGTCTAATGAGAGGTATTTAGGTCATGAAAACTCCACTCACAGGAATTAAAGGGTTAAATATTGACTATACAAGGACTGAGGTAGAAATCCCCCTCCCCCCCCCGTGTGTGTGTGTGTGTGTGTGTGTGTGTCCCTCCCTTCTTCCACCCTTTCCTCCCTCCCCACCCCTTCCTCTCTGTTGTTCCACCAGGAAATGACACAGCAGAGTCCCCGGCTAAATAAATCATCCAATCTCAGATACGCTGTCATAGCAGCACAGAACGAACTAAGACATCCTCCTTGAACAAGATTTTATAAGGGTGTTAGTCATTTAGGAGTAGGACTCTAGTACACATGTTTGTGCTAACAAATGATTCTTCAGAGAGAAAGCTGTGATTATTAATGTTGCTGAGCATCCCTTGCTTGGCTGATCAAGAAGCAGGTATGATGAGCTCAGGACCTCTGAGGTTTCCAATGCCCATGACTTGCTGAGCTCCTGGGAGAATGGCCCCAAAGCCCCTGAATGGCCCCAAAGCCATTCCAGAGAGCTTCAAGACAAGCTGGCAATAGAGCGCAGAGGAACAGCACCTACGTAGCAGATGCGAGCCTGGACCACAGCTTCAGAGGAGAGTAGATGTTACACAGAATAGCGCCTGTGAAGGAGGGGAAGACTCTGCCTCGACAGGAAGTAGAACATGGTGAGGAGTACACCAAAGAGCATGGAGGAGTGTGAAGCGCGAAAGGGAGGCAAGCATGCTGGGATGTAGCTCAGTGGCTCAGGGCCTGTCCAGGCTGTGTGTAGGCCTGGGTTCCATCCCCAGCAACACACACACACACACACACACACACACACACACACACAGAAGGAAAGGAAGAAGAGAGGCAGGCACACATGGTTGAGAAGTTTGCATGTGATGATCACAGTTCAATCTATAAACCAGGCATGGTGTTGCACACCTGTGATCCCATCACTGTGGGAGGCTGAGACAAGTTCAAGCCTAGCCTAAGAAACTTAAGGACTTAGCAAGATCCTGTCTCAAAATAAAATTTAGAAAAGAATTGGAGATGTAGCTCAGTGCGCAGGCCCTGATGGCTCAGTGGAATAAGTGCTTCCCTGGCAAGCACAAGGGCCTGAATTCAATCCCTGGTTTCGAGAAAAAAAAAAAAAGGCAGCCTGAGTCAATCTCCAGTACCACCAGGAAAAAAAAAAAAAAAAAAAAAGAGTCCAACTTTTAGTCTTATACCATGGACAAAAAGTCACTGATGTCTTTTTTGTTAAGGAGTACACTGACAAAAAGCCTGACTTAAGATCCTCACAGGAGGGACAATGAACTAAAACTAGATCAAATAGTTGGGAGGCTGCACAACAGCCACGTGAGGTTGTGGAAATGGAAAAAGACGGGACAGATTCCAGACACCTGCACAGAGTGGGGTTAAGTGACCTGGGAACTGACTAGACACCACAGGAAAAGAGGGAGGAGCCAAAGATGCCTGGAGGTTTCAAGCATGCATGAAGCAAGGATAGACACTAACAGAGAAGTTAGGGGCCAGGCTTGGTGGTACACACCTGTAATCCTGGCATTATGGCAAGAAGATTGCAAATTCAAACCCGGGGGATCAATTTAGGGAAAACCTGGCTGAAAATAAAATTTTCAAAGGGCTGGAAATGTAGGTCAATGTGAAAGCCCTGAGTTCAATACCATTACTGCAGGGTGCAGTGGGGAGGCGCTACTTAGAGAACTTGTTTTATTTTATTTGTGTGTGTGTTTGTGTGTGTGTGTGTGTGTGTGTGTGTGTGTGTAGGGTCTCACTACACAGATCAGACTCATAGTGAGCCTCCTGTTTTCAGCCTCCCTAGCCTGGGATTACAGGCTTGTGCCACCACGCCCACACTCCATCTGATGGCTCATTGCACGGGGGGCAGGGGACGGGAGGAGAGGGGCACGGCATTCAGTGCCCAGGATTGAACCCTGGCCCCTGCGCTTGCCTAAGAAAGTGCTTAGTCCCCTGAGCTATCTTTCTGGCCCTGGGAACTTGTTATTTAAGATGAATTATTTCAGAATTAGCGATTCTGGGTTGAAGGGCTACAGGAAGCAGCTATAGACTCAAGATCTAGGGACAGAGAATAAAGCCAGAGAAAAAGATGTTGTTGTCATCAGTTTTCTAAGAAACAGATTTAAATTTTTAAAATTTTTAACTCTTAGAAAACTTGCATTTATTTAAACATGAACCAAATAATTGCATAAATCTTAAGTCCAAGTACCAACAACTGGAAGCTAAAGAAAGCACAGACATAGGCAAAAATGTGCATCAGAGATCAGAGATGCTATGAGCTCTCTCTCCTCTCTCCCCTCTCCCCCTCTCCTCTCCTCTCCTCCTCCTCCTCTCCTACTTCCTCCTCTCTCTCTCTCTGTCTCCTGTCTCTGTCTCTGTCTCTCTCT